CACTATGGGGCTATACCCGGCACACTATGGGACTATAACTGGCACACTATGGGACTATACCAGGCACACTATGGGACTATACCAGGCACACTATGGGACTATAACAGGCACACTATGGGACTATACCAGGCACACCATGGGGCTATACCAGGCACACTATGGGACTATAACAGGCACACCATGGGACTATACCAGGCACACCATGGGACTATACCAGGCACACCATGGGACTATACCAGGCACACCATGGGACTATACCAGGCACACCATGGGACTATACCAGGCACACTATGGGACTATACCAGGCACACCATGGGACTATATATAAACCTGTAATATGGGACTTACACGTTATGTATAATTAATGTTATAAAACATGAAAAAGTGCTCCGGAGAATACAGGAAATAATACACTGGCAGCCATCTTGGGAAAAATAATTGTATAAAATTATACCTTATGACGTCACAATGTGAAGACCATGAGGATCCAATTGTATTTATACACAAGAATAAATGAGTGGCCAGCTGATGGACCAGCTGATGGACCAGCTGATGGACCAGCTTGGAAAATGTACATCTTGTCCAAATTAACCACTCTACACAAGAAATAACTTTTTCTAGACGTCTGTCCAAGAATTCCTCTTGAATATTTGAACAAGTTTGATAAACCGTTAATGCCATGTTACCAAAACCGTGGTGACGGATCTCTGACGGATGTCTGATGGATGTCTGACGGATGTCTGATGGATGTCTGATGGATGTCTGACGAATGTCTGACGGATGTCTGATGGATGTCTGATGGATGTCTGACGGATGTCTGATGGATGTCTGATGGATGTCTGACGGATCTCTGACGGATGTCTGATGGATGTCTGACGGATGTCTGATGGATGTCTGATGGATGTCTGACGGATCTCTGACGGATGTCTGATGGATGTCTGACGGATGTCTGAAGGATGTCTGACGGATGTCTGACGGATGTCTGACGGATATCTGATGGATGTCTGACGGATGTCTGACGGATGTCTGACGGATGTCTGACGGATGTCTGATGGATGTCTGACGGATGCTTGCTGCTCGATGTCTCCTCGATGAACTACACAGTGGAATGAATCTCATGATTAGACGTCATCACAAGTTGGGGACTTCTGGTGTAACAAAGATGGTGGCGTGGGGATGGTCGATGAATACGTGGGGGTGGCGATGGGTGATGTAGGGGTGGCGATGGGTGATGTGGGGTGGCGATGGTAGATGTGGGGTGGCGATGGCTGATGTGGGGGTGGCGATGGGTGATGCGGGGTGGCAATGNGATGCTTGCTGCTCGATGTCTCCTCGATGAACTACACAGTGGAATGAATCTCATGATTAGACGTCATCACAAGTTGGGGACTTCTGGTGTAACAAAGATGGTGGCGTGGGGATGGTCGATGAATACGTGGGGGTGGCGATGGGTGATGTAGGGGTGGCGATGGGTGATGTGGGGTGGCGATGGTAGATGTGGGGTGGCGATGGCTGATGTGGGGGTGGCGATGGGTGATGCGGGGTGGCAATGAGTGATGTGGGGGTGGTGATGGGTGATGTGGGGTGGCAATGAGTGATGTGGGGGTGGCGATGGGTGATGTGGGGTGGTGATGTGGGGGTGGCGATGGGTGATGTGTGGTGGTGATGTGGGGCTGGCGATGGGTGATGTGGGGTGGCGATGGGTGATGTGTGGTGGTGATGTGGGGCTGGCGATGGGTGATGTGGGGTGGTGATGGGGGACGTCCGGTGTGTATTCCCATTTCCTGGTATCCAGGTGTCACACTGTACACTTAAAAAATAATTTAGCATCAAGAACGAATAGGTACTTGATATACTCATTTTTACACAGCTTTTCTAATGTCTGCCTGTACACAACTCTAATGCCTTTACACTTCTCTATTGTGTGTCTGTACACTTCTCTGTCTGCATTTTCAATTCTCGAATGACTGCCTGTACACTTCCCTAATGTCTGCCTGTACACTTCCCAAATGTCTGTCTGTACATTTGTCATGTCGTTGCTGCCAGCACACAGTCCAATAACATGACCACGTGTCAAATACTGACTGATATCACCTGACCAGGTTGGGTGAGGTCACGTGTCGTGAATGATTGCTGTTTGTTCACGTGATCGTTCAGGTGTCACCATGTCTGTCTTACTTCTGTAGTATCCACGACAACGTGACTTGTGTGTCCCTCATGCTTCTGTCACGCCTCGGCCTATGCCCCTCAAAGCTTCTGCCACGTCGGCGTGATTCATGGCTGCACGACATTATGTCGCATGACATCAGTGAGGCATGACGTAGACGATGACGTCAATGCCTGTTGGGACTATAGTACATCAATGACACGAGACGTAGCTGATGACGTCAGTGCGAGACGGCACTGTGAGACATCGATGCCGCATGACGTAACTTCTGACGTCATTTCGAGATGGGACTGTGGGACATAGATTACGTCAGTGCGAGATGGGACTGTG